CAGCAGTAGTAGTAGGAGAAGGAGGAGGAGCCGGAGGAGCCGGAGGAGGCGGAGGAGCCGGAGTAGTAGTAGAAGTAGGAGTGGGATCAGGAGGAGCAGCAGCAGCAGGGAGCAGAAGTGGCAGTAGTAGTCATCGTCCTCGTGCTGGGTCATTGCTCTCGTAGCAGCAGTTCTCGTCGTGCTCGTCGCCATGTCTTGCCGTTGTCACACCCAAGAACACTTCGGGAGTATCACAATCAGCAATGGTGTGCGCCCTCTCATGACCGAACGCAGCACTGTTACAGTAGCTCCGCGGCTGAAAACCTACAGGCAATCGTGAATCAAGAATATTATAAGTTCTTAGCTCAAGGTAAGAAACTGCTGAAATTTGCACCAACCTGCAGCTCTCTAGAGCATGCCAAAGCCGGCCCTCTTGGGCCAAGGAGCGATGTAATCGTGGATTGCGGCAAGGTCCGCCAGCGCCTGTACGGACTTCGGGGTTGAGCTGGGTACCGAAGAGCGGCTTGGGATTGGGAGGCCAAGGATGCTAATGTGAAGGAATGGTAGCAGCTGGTAGCCGAAGGCATCAGGGCACAAACTTGATTCTCTTGCTCTAGATGCGTGCGAGCCGGTCACAACTTCACGGACCTGTAACACTGCTCCTTCTAGCCTCATAACTCATCCCGCTCACAACCAGCCCCAGCGTTACTGTAACCAGAACGAAAGCGGCGACGACCACGATGGCAAGCAGAACAAGAACACTGCAGAAGATGACTGTGCTCAATCAGCGGGCCGCACCTGTCTTGAAGAATGATACTTGAGGTTGGCTGCTGAGAAGTCCGGAACTCCATCAAAAGCCGCTCCCCCGTAGTAGCGGTGCTCCACGGCCATTCCCATTGCATGGAACTCTTTGGCCAACCTCGTGGTGTTTAGCCGCAGTTCAGGGTCAGGGTGGAGAGTAGTTACGGGGTTTGGGCTACTGGTAGAGTTCGCAGCTGCCAGATCTGCCAGCACTTGAGCAACTGGATCGTAGATACTCCCCTAGATAAATGCAGCGAACACGAAGCTTCAACTCAAAGAGGCCTTACCCGTGGCATCAAAGCTCTCAGGGGTGAACAAGTGAGCATAAGCTTCAATCTCTGAGCCGCCGAGAAGCTCCATCATGTTGTTGCACATGAGGGTGTACGGCTTGCGAGTTCCTCCCCACGGATGGTCTTCCCCATCGATGCAGACGAAGACTGGCCCGCCGGCTTTCCAGTAAGTCCTGTTTGTCGTGTAGCGCTGGCACCACGTTTTCGTGCTGTCGCTGTCATGGTCGAGCTTCTGCCCACAAAACGTTTTGAGGCCATCTGAAACGTCCAAAACCTGAACCGTCTGAGGTTGCAGGACCTAAACTGCCTACACACGTCCGGACATGAGAAAAAAAGACAAGCTTCTGCCCAGCAGCTGGAGGGTTGACTTCGGCTACCACCTTCAGCAACTTGTCGCGCTTGAGGCTGAGGCCCTGAATCTGAGCCGAGGCCAGCGGCAAACTTCCTCCGAGGCCCGCCAAGGCCGCCCAGGCTCCCAAAGCGAGCCACGCCATGGAGGAGCAAAGTAAGTAAAGGTGTAAGGGGTCCCGATGTCCAAGAGCCAAAGAACTGCAGCAAAGAGGTCGGCGCAACAGCTCAGTGGACTTCACACACCCTCGCGAAAGCCTAAACCCTAAACCCTAAACGCCTAAACGCCTAAACCCTAAATGCCTAAACCCTAAACCCTAAACCCATCTAAGCCCTAAACCCGAGCTCACCTTCCTTGGTCTGACGTGGGCCGGGAGCCGGAGCGGCATCCCCCCACCCACTGGGTCGCAGCACTTGAAAGACGGGTCTTCGCGACCGAAAGCCCAAGTTCTTAGGACTGCTTCACCCCTTTGGTCTCCGTCTCCCCCTCTTTGTCTCCTGCCCCTCTCTCCTCTCGACTCTACAGGAGCCTCAAATACAGAGCTCTATGCTCTACTTTAATCATCTCTACACTTTACTCTTCTACTCTTCTACTCGCAATAGCGTTTGGTAGTAGCTGACCGTGAGGACTCTGCATGCAGTAGCCACCAAAATTCATCGTTTTTGAGGGAAGTTACATGAAGTTACCAAGTGCTTTCATAAATGGTGGAAGTGGGGAAACTGCACATAGCCTTAACCCATCCTGGTGTTTGCAAGTTTCTGCTCTTCTGTTATCCTGCAATTTTCTCAGTAAGGCAGAGTTGCTATAAGGACTCCAGCTTTAGAGCAAACACCCTATTAGATGAATTAGATGTATTGCTGGGAGCTGTAGTGAACTGAACTCGCGATGGAACCTCAAAAGCAGGACAAGAACCTAAACCCTGAACCCCAAACCGCGGGAATTCCTTGAAATTGCGTGGAAGCGAGGATTCTCAGGTGGACGTCCCCGTTCTCTTTGCCTTCTCTTAAAACCATGGGTTTCCAGAAGTGTAGTGCAGGTGAACTAACAAGTGTAGTGTAGGTGTGCGATGTACCTGTTGCCAAGCGTGTTCTTGCTTGCCTTATCTCATCTTTGTCTCCTATCCCTAAACTTTAAACCCTGAATCCTTAAACCTAAAACTTCATTGAGCACATGTGCTCCATCGCGTCTCACACCCTCGAAGACCGATGATGCTGATTGCACGGCGCCTTCCCGCAAACCACGTCGACCCCGCTTTTCCGGATGCTTGGCAGCGGAAGCGTCCCCAGTTTTTTGCACAACCCAACAGCCTGGTGATCTCCAAGCATCCTTCGAGCTTGGTGCCATACCGCCTAAACGGCAAGAACAAACTGGGTGGGAAAATCGGATCGAAAAATGCGAAAAAGGCTCAAAAAAAAGGGGCGTGGTCACAAGTCAAGGGCAGCCCAGAGTTTCTTGATGCGGTCTTGAACGATGAGTGTGATGGTGGAAATGGGCCCTGTGCGGGCAAAGTAGACCTTGGCTGCCAAGTACCCTGGCCCGATTTCTTTTAGTAAGGGTTTAATAATATACCAAAAAAGTTTAAAGTTTACCTATTAGGCTCCCAAGAGACTGGAAAGCCTGAGTAGAATCGAAGCGGACTCGCACGCAGCGTTTTCAGAGCGCAATCCGCCGGCCCTTTGAAAGGCATCTTTCCAGTGATTGGGTCTGGCTTCATCTTCTGCAGCTGCGTCTTTACGAAGTCAAAGGGCAAGGAGAAGACCGAGCCGAAAAAGCCTGGGACTTAAGTTAAGTTACCACAATAAGAAAACCCGATTATTTACTATAGGTTCCTACTATGGTAACCCAGATCAAATTTCTTCAACTGAGACCACAATGCTTGCACGGCAACTTTATTTGAGCCCCAAACCCTAAGCCCTAAATTCCTGGGTTGCTTAAACCCCAAACCCTAAACCCTAAAAATCCCTAAATCACTTAAACCCCAAACCCTAAATTCCTAAATTCCTAAATTCCTAAGCCCTAAGCTCCTTAAAAAGAACCCAGGAGCCGCCGGCGAAGGCGGCTCCGAAGACCTGCACGTTGCCGCCCTTCTCGAACCCCATGGCTGCGAGCTGCTCCTTGGCCTCGGGGGCTGAAATGTTGGGGGTGTAGGGTTTTAGGGTTTAGGGTTTAGGGGTTTAGGGTTTGGGGTTTAGGGTTTAGGCTTTCGGGGTTTAGGGTTTAGGGGTTTTTAAGGGCTTTTAGGGGTTTAAACGGTTTAGGGGTTTTAGGGCTTAGGGGTTTAGGGGTTTTAACGACTTAGGGCTTAGGGTTTTTCTTGGCCTTGGAGTTGAAGGCCAGCATTCCAAAATTCAGGCCCATGGCACGCAATGCTGTGGCTGGGGCACCTTGGAGGAGACCTGCCGCTCCCTCCTGCTTCACCTTCACTCGGATTGGGTTTAGGGTTTAGGGTTTTGGGGTCTCCTGCTTCACCTTCACTCTGATAGGAGGCCTCTACAAGTCTACAACGTGCTACTTGCCCTACAAAGGCCATGTAAATAGAAACTCAAAGAAGGAGCTACAGAACTCTATGCCAATCGAACCATGCAAGCTACTATTGTGGCGAAGGCATCAAGCACATGCTTGTAATTGCGACGCTGAGCTTCAGGCAGCAGGTTGTCAGCCTGCATGCGCACCAGCGATAAATCCGCAGGATTCCCAATGACAGCTGCAATTCCACCTGCACTCAGAGCACAGAGCGACGTCTTCCAAAAGGGCAGAGTTGCCTCTCCTGGACTGCTAGCCATGGCGGTGAACTGATCATAGAGGCCCAGGCGCGAGCCCGTGTAGAGCACCTGTCTTGCGTACATGGCTGTGATCCCTTGGAAGAAGCCTGCCGGGCCATCTTGCCTCAGCAAGGTTTGTGCTACGTGAGCGACGCTCGTGTTGCCACCTTCTGCAGCTGCGAGTTGGATGCGCACCTTTACGATGTCAATGGGCTGGACGATCGTGCCCGCTATGGACCCGGACAAGCTGCCAGTCACGAAGGGTTTGCACGACTCCCACACCCCCATGGCATCTATCAATTTCACCTATACTCCACAACAACTTGATCCGAGCTGACAACGCATGTACTCTGAAAGTGTGTGAGACCAGTAACTTGTGGCAGCTATAGTCACTATAGTCACCTCTCCACGTACCTGCAAATAACATGATCCGGTGAAGACACAACCAACATTGCCTGTGGCCGCCGGCCGCCTACTCTTCGCAGCTTGCAGGTACTACTGTTCTTGGGAGCTCAAGGCAGCCGCATGCCCCTGATAGCGAACATGCGCATTACGCTTGTGGTGACCCGATTAAGGCTGCTTAGACCATGTAGAACACATGCTGCCTCTTCTATGTGCAACCAGCCTTCCTTCCAGCTTTTTATAGCCCACCCTCCTCTGCCACATCTGGTCTGGCGATCATGCGCACTGTACAGAATGGAAAACTGATCGAAGCCCTCCAGGCCTCTAAACTGCTCGAGCAAGAGGCGCAGCCTCGTTAAAGTTGTGAGATGGCAGTGCCGTGTGATGTTCTGAAAGGGGTAGCTTGCCACTTCATGGTCAAGGGTTGCGCGGAACTCGATCCACCTTGGTACCTTTGCCTTCCTCTGACCTATCATACCATACAACATCTCCAGGCACAGTCTTTTTGATGATGGTGCCCGCTTCGTTGTCAAAGATAGCATGAGCATCATTCAAATCTCCGATCGCAGCAAATGCATCGGGGTTTGGAGAATTCTTCACGAATTCAATGGCAGCTGCGACTTTTGGGCCCATTGAACCAGGGAATTTTGAACCTGCCTTGGTGCCCTCTAAGTAGGCGATCGAAGCTTCCTTCATCTCCTTGGCATCGGGCTTTCCGAAGTTTCTCCAAATCCCTCCGCCATCCGTTAAGATGAGGAAGGCGTCTGCGTCCAGCTGCTGTGCAAGCAGGGCACCACATCGATCCTTGTCAATGACCGCTTCCATTCCCTCAAGAGCATGAGAAGGGATGTTCGCATATGCTGTGCCCATCCGCACGACAGGGACGCCGCCGCCACCGCAAGCGATGGGCAACGGCCCTTGAGGTGTTTGTGCTGCGAGAAGTAGCTTGATCGACTCGATCTGCATGATCTCCAGTGGTACTGGTGATGACACGACACGGCGGAAGTATTCGCCATCAGGCTTCATGGTCCATCCCAAGCTCTGGTGGAGCGCATCAGCCTCCTTTGCTCCGTACACAGGACCTACGAACTTCGTTGGATTTTGGAAGGCCGCGTCTGTGGGATCAACAACCACTTGAGTCACAAGGCAAGCTGACGATACGCCTACACCTGCCATGGCCTGTGAGAAGATATAGCCAATCTGGCCCTGGGATTCAGCACCGAGCACGTCAAAGGTAGCTGCTGATCTTTCGAGTGCCAGCTCTCCCACCTGCGGCCCGTTCCTTACTTTTGATAAGGGTGGACAAACTAAAAGAGACGAGGAAGCCGTTGAAATGCTGTAAAAAGGAATCTGGCAATTATCATCTTTCGCGGGATGTGTGTGTGCAAGTAAATAAGTACGGAGAGAGGGTAGCGACCAATGGCGGAAGTAGTGTGTAGACTTGGCTGCTTGGATTGTTTGAGCCCCGTGTGGCGCTTAGCGAAATCCGGCCGGTAATCGCAAGCATCACAAGAGCAACATTCCCACCACTCGTGCTGCAGCACGTGTGCTGTGTAGGTGTCCATATGTAACTAGTGGCATGTTAAGGAAGCTGAGGAGAAAAGAGCAAGTATTTACGCAGTTGTGTAACAAAGCAGTGGTAGAGCAGTGAGCGCAACAGAACGGCGAAGTGGCATTGAAGCAAACTGGCACAAAGAAACTCAGCATAACAAAATCATGGAAATCTGCCTCAAAATTTTGCGCAGCCTCCCCTAGAAAAATAGAAACCAAGGTCATATGACACTAGTCAGGCTGCCTCACAAATCACGCATCTCAAGAACTATGGAAACTGAGCCCTAGAATCTCTTTTTTGGATGTTGTAGAAACTCCATTGTAGAAAATGACCCCAAACCAGTCCTGAATCGTGCGTTATCAATTCGTTGAGTGTTCTATGGGCATGTCAGTGGACTGAAGCTCCAAGTAGAGAGGAAGATACAGAAATGGAGGTGTCAGCAGAGGAGAGCCTGTGGGAGATGGAAGGATCCAGCAAGGAGGCAGAAGAAAGGGGGTAATGCTGTGAACAATCTCAAACTCAAAAAGAATGAACAATGCTGGATTGGTCATGCAAAAGCTCAAGCCGAGCTTGGCAACTAGAAGTCTTAAGTTCCCACACCACAAACCAGAGGCTAAACTTGCTTTGTTCAAAATGCAGAGATTCCCGTGTGTGAGGACAACCGAATGATCCGCCATCAGCTTCTTCAACATTGGCGCTGCATCATTGCGAGCAGCCTTCAATTGGTTCTCAATCGTCAACCGCTCACCTCTTCGAATGAGTGCATTGCCACCAACAGCCACGACCACCTTCAGCCGCTGCTTTTCGCTGCTCGGACCAACTTGCTCGGCGACGATCCGCGCCTCGCTGGCACAGCTCCTCACGCCGAGCGCTCGTCTGAGTCCAAGGAAACCAAGGCGGGCCATTGTGGGCAAGCGCGTCGCTGGTGCTAAGCAGTTTATCAACCCTGCAAATTTTCCGAACTGATGCAGTGCACATAGCTCTTTTGCTGCACATGTTCTTGGGAGAAAGTCTGGAGCCCGCACGAGAAGCCTGGAGGCCTTTGTGAGCCGCAATCCGCCTGTCACATGTCTAGTGGAGCAAGCAGTCCGACATGACAGTGAAACACCTTACATGAACAGATAACATGAGACTTCGTTCATCTGACAGCGTCAGAAAAAGGAAGAACGGTGCCAGGTAGTCCACGAAAACTGCACGTTAAACATCTGCAAGGAACTCAGATGTTAAACATCGTGTTCGTCTATCCCTTCAGCTCCGGCAACGTGTGGGGAAGCTTCAAATGCCTTCACGAAAAGGCCAGAGCGTCATCGCAGAATGGAACAAGGATCTGAACAAAAGCAGCGGGAAAAATCGACTTCTTCAAGAATCGGATTGACTCTAAGTTTTGTGGCGCAAACTCGGTTGCTGCCAAACAACCACAAAGCATCTACAAACTGCAGCACCACGAAAGAGGAGAAGACCAAGTCGGCAACGAAACCGTGACGCAAGGTTCATTAAGGTTCCTAAACAGCAACAAAGGCGGTGGGTCAGTGCCAGCAAGCAGCGCGGTCCTCCTACAACCTACTGCAAACGTGCTGTCTGCCGCGCTGCGCAATTGTCACTACCTGCGTCTGCTGTGTGGTGTACACAGGTTCCTGTCTGTCTCCACTTGCTCTGTCCTTGGAATGCAGGCTTCAAAGAAAACATTCACTGCAGCACAAAAGTGGAGTGCAAAATCGGCAAGTTTCAAGTTCGAAAATCATACAAAAGACGCTAACCGCATGCTTTCTGGTCACTGTGCCTTTTCGAAGTCATCTGCACGTAGGAATCACTAGAGTCTAAATATTTCCAAAGCCGAAACATCTGTGATTCTCATAGTGTGTTATGCAACTGTCACGCACGTCCTCAGGATTCCAAGAGAACAACGAGCCAGTCGGAAAAAAAGAGTTAAACGAACACCGAAGCTATGCGCATTAGGACTGGAAACAGTGTCTTGGAACAGGACCGCATTCCCTCTCTCCCTCTCTCTCTCTCGCGCTCTCTCTCCTTCTCGCTCTCCCTCCACCTCTTGTTCGTCCCTTCTCCCCTTCCCCTCCTGCTTTCCTGCACACGTCCCTGCAAGCCAGCCATTGCCATTGCCATTCCCCCACAACTGAACTAATCTTCAACACTATTCTTGCAAACTTCAGCTCCAACACTGTTAGCACCTCAGTCTGCCTGCTTTGTTTTCATGAATTGCAACGTGAATCCTTGGGTTTCCAGGCTGTGTTGGAAAAGAATGATATGCAACCCTTGATCGTGCTGGATGTACGGTTGGCAGCCTGGGCTTGCAGCTTGAACGAAGCAACGTCCTCCAGAAAAGCAGTATCGTGATGCACCACTTGGAGGCTTGGAAGTCCAAAACAGGGGCATCACCACTCCAACTGCGTCGAAGAGGGTGGCCGGTGCAGCAGTACGATAGCCAACGACACCTGAGACAATGCCAGGCCACAAACCCCAAGCATCTTCAAACATGTTGCTGCGACAGTATGCTCTGCAAACCAGCGATGTGCTAAAGACCCAGCGTGTCCTGGGAAACATATGGAAGCCTCAAGCGGGCTTGTTAGCTGGTAAGATTCAGTGTGTTGCTGTTGTTGTTAGGCTGGTGCTGACAGACGGTGAATAATCCAGAGCACAACCGCGTTTCGCATGCTTTCCTTTCCATGCCTGTTGCTTATTCTACTCACCAGGAACTGGTTAGTGGACATGCCGGAAGGAGCGAGAACGCAGCGCAACCTTGCGTGCAAGGAGTGACTTTGGAGTCCCACTTGCACCTCCCGGACGCCTGGTGACAGCTCGTTCCTGTGTTCCTGTGCTTTGGGCGTTGTAGGCACTCTAGGCAGTACGATGGCCAGAAGCTTGCTCAAAAGGCTCAAGTTCTGCCGCGGGCTCCCTCCTTAAGCCGAGGCTTTGCCCTTCCTGCCACAGCAGAGCTCGCCGTTCCCGACTCCGCAATCGCTTTCACTCTCTGAACTTCCAGTTGCGCAGTAAAATGCTCCATGAACGTTGTGTTCCCGGCTTCTTGTTTCGTTTCAGTCAGTTTTGCAGTCTCACACGCAAAGAGCAAGAGCTGTCACGTTCCCTGGCCATGCACGACTCCACAACCGCTTGCACTGTCTGGATTCTCGATTCTCAACCAGCAGTGCTGCCCGGCTGGCCTGTGCTCTGCCCCGTGCCTCATCGCACCGAGCCATTTGCCCCGGCTTCCGCTTGGGTCAATCAAGCTGCAGTCGATGGTGAAATACTTGTGGTGGTTGTGGTGGTCCCAAATCCAAACCGGTCTTAAGCGAGGCAGCCGCTGCATGCGCACATTTGTGAAGGCGGCTCGATACGTCTGTGTGCCGAGCTCGGCCGCGAACTGACTGCCCCCCCCGCCACCGAGTCTGGGTTCGGGAACTTTATGTTCAAACCCTGAAACCAAAAACCTGTATTTACACCCCGCTGGATTCTCAATCAGCCTTGCTGCCCTGCTGCCCTGTGCTCTGCCCCGTGCCTCATAGAACCAAGCTCATGTGCCCCGGCTTCCGCTTGGGTCAATCAAGCTGCAGTCAATGGCGAGACACTTGTGGTGGTTGTGGTGGTCCCACAGTCAAACCGGTCTGAAGCGAGGCAGCCTCTGCATGCGCACATTTGTGAAGGCACGATACGTCTGTGTGCCCAACTCGACGGCACACTGACTGTCCCTCCGCCTCCCTTTACACGCATATCTGGGGATTTAGCACTAGATCAAGCTTGTGCTGTGCACTGACAGGTGGGCTTCGGCCTGTGACCTTTCCTTGCTGTCCTTGCGTGCAGCCCGTGGCCGACTCCGAAACTCCCTGCTGATCCTCTGCAATCCTCTGCACAAGTGTCTTGCAGGCATGGGCATGGCGCGCGATGCGCGGTCAAGATTTCGTCCAGCACGACACAACCGGAGAGCGCAACAAGCCGCACCTTTTCTCGCGTAGCTCATGCTCAACTCTGCAGCAGTGTTTGGTGTCTGCATTCTCAAGCTGCCGTGCCGCTGATGTGGCCACGGAGCCAAGCCTTTGTCCAGGACAAGGCAGCTCACACAGCCCTTGCCCAGTCTGGAGCCTTGTTGAGCGTCGCAAGTCCAAGGCCACGCCTGCCACTGATAAGGCTCCAAAACAAGGAGCAGCAGAAATCACCGTTCCCGACTTGAACTCTCCAGTTGTGCAGTTGAATGTTCCCTGAACGTTGTGTTCCCGACTTCTTGTTTCGGTTCAGTCAGTTTCACAGGCTCACACGCAGAGAGCAAGAGCTGTCACGTTCCCTGGCCATGCACAACTCCACAGCTTGCACTGTCTGGATTCTCAACCAGCCGTGCTGCCCGGCTGGCCTGTGCTCTGCCCTGTGCCTCATCGCACCAAGCCATCTGCCCCGGCCTCCGCTTGGGTCAGTCAAGCTGCAGTCGATGGTGGGTGTTTGTGGTGGTCCCAAATCCAAACCTGTCTTCAGCGAGGCAGCCACTGCACATTTGTGAAGGCGGCTCGATACGTTTGTGTGCCGAGTTCCGCCGCACACTGACTCAGGGTCCACTCGCCCGCCCTCCCGCCCCCCCAACGCCCCTGACGAACCCTGGGTCCAAGAACTCTGTGTTCGAACCATCTTTTGGTTGCCTGACAGAGCCAACGGCCCCATCACACCGGGGGTACGCTCCACCGCAGAATGCACTACATGCAAACCTGTGGATTCGGCGCTAGATCAGCTGTGCACTGACAGGTGGGTTTCGGGCTGTGACCTCTCCTTGCGGTCCTTGCGGCAGCCCGTGGCCGATCTCGCTGATCTCTGCAATCCTCTGCACAGGTGTCTTGCAGGCATGGGCATGGTGTGCGACGCGCGGTCAAGATTTCGTCCGGCACGACACAACCGGAGAGCGCAACAAGACGCACCTTTCCTCGCGTAGCTCATGCTCAACTCTGCAGTAGCGTTCGGTGTCTGCATTCTCAAGCTACCGCGCAGCTGATGTGGCCACGGAGCCAAGCCTTTGTCCAGGACAAGTGCCCAGTCTGGAGCCTTGTTGAGCGTCGCAAGTCCAAGGCTTGTTTCGGTTCAGTCAGTTTCACAGGCTCACACGCAGAGAGCAAGAGCTGTCACGTTCCATGGCCATGCACAACTCCACCGCTTGCACTGTCTGGATTCTCAGCCGTGCTGCCCGGCTGGCCTGTGCTCTACCCCGTGCCTCATCGCACCGAGCCATTTGCCCCGGCCTCCACTTGGATCAATCAAGCTGCAGTCGATGGTGAAATACTTGTGGTGGTTGTGGTGGTCCCAAATCCAAACCGGTCTTAAGCGAGGCAGCCGCTGCATACGCACATTTGTGAAGGCGGCTCGATACGTCTGTGTGCCGAGCTCGGCCGCGAACTGCCTGCGCCCGCCGAGTCTGGTGGATTCTCAATCAGCCTTGCTGGCCCGGCTGGCCTGTGCAGAGCTCCCGTCCCTCATCGCAGCAAGCCATCTGCCCCGGCCTCCGCTTGGGTCAGTCAAGCTGCAGTCGATTCTAAAACACTTGTGCGGTGTTTGTGGCGGTCCCAAATCCAAACCGGTCTTAAGCGAGGCAGCCGCTGCATGCGCACATTTGTGAAGGCGGCTCGATACGTCTGTGTGCCGAGCTCGGCCGCGAACTGACTGCTCCCCCCCCCCCACCGAGTCTGGGCTCGGGAACTTTATGTTCAAACCCTGAAACCAAAAACCTGTATTTAAACCCCGCTGGATTCTCAATCAGCCTTGCTGCCCGGCTGGCCTGTGCAGAGCTCCCGTGCCTCATCGCACCAAGCCATCTGCCCCGGCCTCCGCTTGGGTCAGTCAAGCTGCATTCGATGGTGAAACTCTTGCGGTGTTTGTGGTGGTCCCAAATCCAAACCGGTCGTAAGCGAGGCAGCCGCTG